CAGTCATTAACAGACTCAATTGATGACCTTCTGTAGAAGATAATGAGAGCAGGACTGTTGGCAAGGCGTTTATATGGATACACTGTATGTGTCTGCACTGTTTCAGGATTCTCTATTATGATACCTGGGTAAAGGGTGACTTCCTTTCTATCATAAAACAGCCTGGACAGCACTAAGAAGGTGGTTATGTTCTTTTCTCTTGTTGTGAGAACCTAGATGAGATTACTTTGCCAAAGACTCTTTCATTTCTCTTTCTGAAACTCTGTGAGATTGTTGTGTTCTCTGGGACTTAACTTCACAGCTAGTCTATTTTTCCTTTCAGAAATTACCATGGTTGACACAGAGATGCCATTCTGGCCCACCAACTTTGGGATCAGCTCCGTGGATCTCTCCGTAATGGACGACCACTCCCACTCCTTTGACATCAAGCCCTTCACTACTGTTGACTTCTCCAGCATTTCTGCTCCACATTATGAAGACATTCCATTCACAAGAACAGATCCGATGGTTGCGGATTATAAGTATGACCTGAAACTTCAAGAGTACCAAAGTATGATGTTTATTTTCACTTTTCAGACTACTAAGACTGGAATTGGACTTATCTCTCAGTAACCCTGTAGTAAATAGTGCTGCAGACACTAGAATTCTAATAGAGAAGGCATTCACCATTCATTTATTCACCCGTTTATCTATGAAATACTAGGTATCTACGAAATGCAAGAAAGGAAGCTGGCCCCAGATCAATCTTGCCTTCTCCCACTCCTTCCTTCCTCTCTTCTTTCCTTTCTTGCTTACTTCTTTCTTAGGGACATTTTCTACCTTGATTACACTGCCAGTTGTATCTCAGGCTAAGAGTCCATCATCCAAACTTTGAATTCTTTTGGCCCCTTATAAGTTAATAAGTAACAATTCCAAGTCTCACCTTACGTTATATAACTTATCTTCACTATATTACTGCCACTACAGTACATTTTTTCTGTTATGTCCTTTCAGAAGTTTATACTGAAACCTACTTTTGAGCACAAATTTGTTTTAACATTGTAGCCTATTGATAAATTTTCATGCCATTAACTAAATCAACATCAAAACATCAGACTCAAGAAAAACTAGTACTGTACTTTTTGAGATAAAATGTATTTCTGTGATGCTATTTCCTTGATTTTTATCATGTGTGGGCTGACATGCTGGTTTTCCAAAGCCACCACTATGTAATTGGCAATCATTACTTGACAAGTCAGAACTTCCTGTATTTCTAGTGGTTTTTTAAGATAAATAATATGCTTAGTTATATTTATCTGTGTGGTTTTCAGTTAGAGCCTAATATGGAAATTTAGTAGCCCTGAGCCTAACTAGTAAAAGGTAGGGCTTACTTCCATAAGTTCCGCCACGCTCTGTCAAAGATTATTTCACAAACCACCTCTTTTGACTGAACACTAATGCTAACCTGGGCTCTTATTTTTCATGCATATCTAGCTAGGCATACCATGACCTTTTCACAGCGGTATTCCTTCTGTAGTTCTTTTGCAAGAGTTGTTTCAAAGTACTTATAAAATGCAATATTTAAATAAAATGTATAATTTAATATTGTGATGAATACCAAAGACAGAACATTTCCTAGCAAAATAAGCTTCTTGGTGTCAAATCCTCTATGTTGTCTGTTAGAGCTGTAGTATTGCAGGGTACTGGGGGGATCATAGAACCACAGACTTAATTCTCGTTCCCATTTTATATTTACAGGTGAGGCTTAGAGATGTTGTAACTTGCCTGTGATTACAAAGCCTTCTTTTTCTTGCCTTAACTCCAGTGTTTTTACACTAAAACAATACAAATATAGCATGAAGGTATACTTTGGTGGCTTGCCTTGTTGCCTTTTTAGGACTGTTTTCATGGGATAATTATCCTCTCACATGTCTCCATACACAGGTGCAATCAAAGTGGAGCCTGCTTCTCCACCTTATTATTCTGAGAAGACTCAGCTCTACAATAAGCCTCATGAAGAGCCTTCCAACTCCCTCATGGCAATCGAATGTCGTGTCTGCGGAGATAAAGCTTCTGGATTCCACTATGGAGTTCATGCTTGTGAAGGATGCAAGGTAATTTTAAAAAAATCTTCTTCAAAGAAGTTGTTGAAACTTTATTATTTCATTTCAGCAGAACCCTTTTTTTAGGTGATACAATAATATGAATTTTTTTTCTTCATGGAAGAGTGTTTTCCTCTGTCCCCCAGACTAGAGTACAGTGGCGCTACCACAGCACACTGCAGCCTTGAGCTCCTGGGCTCAAGTGATCCTCCCACAGCCTCCCAAAGGATGACATAGTATTTGAAAGCCTAAGAAAGTGGATAAAAGTGGGGCTGCTTTGCCCCACGTTCCTTTCTCCAAATTGATTCTTTGAGACACTGATCTAGTTTAATCCTTGCATCTTGCGGATTTTTACAAAAAGGTGACTTCTCCAAGGTGTCATGGCAAGACAGTGATGATCTGGCACCAGGATGCAGATTTCCTGCATTCTCTAGTTGTTTATTTTTTTCGCTATACCATGTAATATTGTATAGACACAAGATTTTACAGATTATTTATATATGCATATCTTTGAATCCCTAGAGCAATCCTGTAAGATTGGGCTTCTTTATGGCCACATTGCAGATGTAGAAATTACAGGTTGGTAAAACTTGCCAAAGTCATCCCTTAGTAAGTGGCAGACCTCAGATTAGACTCTGACTCCTTAGGTGGTGTTGGCTCTCAAAGCAGTGCCTCATGTTTCCTTATTCCAGCATCACTGTGAGCCACATACATGGACAGGCAAGGAGGTATAACAGTGTGGGAAAGGAGATACTATTTATCATTATCTCTTTCCTTTGTGAAAAGGGTATTTTGGAAAATTCAGACATTTAGTAATTTTTGCTTAATTATTAAGAAAATATGTGAATCCACTCATTTTGATATGCAGTCTTTTAAGATAATTTTAATACACACAATGAAAAAATAGTACTAATTTATTATATACTCATTGCACAGAATAAACTTCATAAATATTTACTTTCTAAAATAAACACCTGCTTAGTTGAGCTTTTTATTCAACATAAAGATACAGAACAACAGTTAGGAAAGGTTTAGGACATTTTGGTTCCTAAATGGATGATGGACCAAAAAAGGAAACTGATTTTTATTGAATTCTTACTACATGCCAAAAACTGTATAAGGTAACATGTTCATACATCAGTATTTAACCACATCCTACCCAGGTTTTCTCATCTATAAAATGATTGTGCCTGAGTGTGGTGGCTCATGCCTGTAATCCCAACACTTTGGGAGGCCAAGGCAGGAGGATCACTTGAGCTCAGGGGTTCAAGACCAGTCTGGGCAGCATAGTGAGACCCCATCCCTCCAAAATTTTAAAAAATTAGCCAGGCATGGTGGCACATGGCTGTAGTCCTAGCTTCTTGGGAGGCTTGGGTAAGAGGATCACTTGATCCCAGGAGTTCAAGGCTGCAGTGAGCTATGATCACACCTCTGCACTCCGATTACAAAGCCTTCTTTTTCTTGCCTTAACTCCAGTGTTTTTACACTAAAACAATACAAATATAGCATGAAGGTATACTTTGGTGGCTTGCCTTGTTGCCTTTTTAGGACTGTTTTCATGGGATAATTATCCTCTCACATGTCTCCATACACAGGTGCAATCAAAGTGGAGCCTGCTTCTCCACCTTATTATTCTGAGAAGACTCAGCTCTACAATAAGCCTCACGAAGAGCCTTCCAACTCCCTCATGGCAATCGAATGTCGTGTCTGCGGAGATAAAGCTTCTGGATTCCACTATGGAGTTCATGCTTGTGAAGGATGCAAGGTAATTTTAAAAAAATCTTCTTCAAAGAAATTGTTGAAACTTTATTATTTCATTTCAGCAGAACCCTTTTTTTAGGTGATACAATAATATGAATTTTTTTTCTTCATGGAAGAGTGTTTTCCTCTGTCCCCCAGACTAGAGTACAGTGGCGCTACCACAGCACACTGCAGCCTTGAGCTCCTGGGCTCAAGTGATCCTCCCACAGCCTCCCAAAGGATGATATAGTATTTGAAAGCCTAAGAAAGTGGATAAAAGTGGGGCTGCTTTGCCCCACGTTCCTTTCTCCAAATTGATTCTTTGAGACACTGATCTAGTTTAATCCTTGCATCTTGCGGATTTTTACAAAAAGGTGACTTCTCCAAGGTGTCATGGCAAGACAGTGATGATCTGGCACCAGGATGCAGATTTCCTGCATTCTCTAGTTGTTTATTTTTTTCGCTATACCATGTAATATTGTATAGACACAAGATTTTACAGATTATTTATATATGCATATCTTTGAATCCCTAGAGCAATCCTGTAAGATTGGGCTTCTTTATGGCCACATTGCAGATGTAGAAATTACAGGTTGGTAAAACTTGCCAAAGTCATCCCTTAGTAAGTGGCAGACCTCAGATTAGACTCTGACTCCTTAGGTGGTGTTGGCTCTCAAAGCAGTGCCTCATGTTTCCTTATTCCAGCATCACTGTGAGCCACATACATGGACAGGCAAGGAGGTATAACAGTGTGGGAAAGGAGATACTATTTATCATTATCTCTTTCCTTTGTGAAAAGGGTATTTTGGAAAATTCAGACATTTAGTAATTTTTGCTTAATTATTAAGAAAATATGTGAATCCACTCATTTTGATATGCAGTCTTTTAAGATAATTTTAATACACACAATGAAAAAATAGTACTAATTTATTATATACTCATTGCACAGAATAAACTTCATAAATATTTACTTTCTAAAATAAACACCTGCTTAGTTGAGCTTTTTATTCAACATAAAGATACAGAACAACAGTTAGGAAAGGTTTAGGACATTTTGGTTCCTAAATGGATGATGGACCAAAAAAGGAAACTGATTTTTATTGAATTCTTACTACATGCCAAAAACTGTATAAGGTAACATGTTCATACATCAGTATTTAACCACATCCTACCCAGGTTTTCTCATCTATAAAATGATTGTGCCTGAGTGTGGTGGCTCATGCCTGTAATCCCAACACTTTGGGAGGCCAAGGCAGGAGGATCACTTGAGCTCAGGGGTTCAAGACCAGTCTGGGCAGCATAGTGAGACCCCATCCCTCCAAAATTTTAAAAAATTAGCCAGGCATGGTGGCACATGGCTGTAGTCCTAGCTTCTTGGGAGGCTTGGGTAAGAGGATCACTTGATCCCAGGAGTTCAAGGCTGCAGTGAGCTATGATCACACCTCTGCACTCCAGCCTGGGTCACAAAAGCAAGACCCTAACTCCAAATAAATAAATAAATAAATAAATAAAATGACTCTGAATTAGATGATCTCTAAAATCCCTTCAATTCAAACAGTTTTTACTCTAAAGGCAACCTAATACAGTGAAAAGGGAAAAACCAGAAGTCAGCTCTGCCACTTTCCAAGTCACTAGCCAGTCACATACACATTGTATCCCTCAGGCCCTCCATGTGTAAAATGACTTCATTAGATTGGCTACACAAGGTCTTATTCATCTCTAAGGTCTGTAATTTCAAAATGACACTTTGAAACACTCCTGGCAAGAGATGCTTTCATTTAAAACACTAAAACCCATTCATTCTGTAATTTAAACCAAGCTAAAATATTTATGACCTTATATGAAATCATTGTATTAAGTCAATTATCTAAGATCTTGATGAGTAGTAAGAACATGTCATTTTATTGACTTAGATTTTTTATTGAGTGTTTTTGTAGTTTTATTGAGTTTTATTGTTAGATTTAATGAGTTAGAGTTTATTTTTACTGAGTTAGATACCATTTTTGAGTGAGTAAATTGTTGCTAAATTCTGAGCCATATTTATCTGAAGAAACCATTCTGTTTTGGTCATGTTGATAATTTACAACTATAAATAAATAAAAACGGCATGATTGGTTTAAGTTTCCACAATAAGTTATTGTCTTTTATGGGCTAGTAAAGCACTTAGAAAACTAAAACCTTTATGCAAGTAGTTCCACCATAATCCTATTAGTCACAAATTTGTGGAAAGCTAACATTACTGAAAACAACTGAAAATGGAAAGACAGGAACATTGTCAGTAGTTGGTTATAGTGATAAATCTAAGTTCTGAGAGCACTAAAACTTAGAAGCAAGCAGGGAAGAAGAGTAGCAAAAAAGAGAAGAGAGAGGAGGAAATCCAGGTGCCTTCAAGTTAGGATTAGAAAGTAGAAGAAGGCAGAGAGGGAGAAAAAACACTTAATAAAACCTGAAGACTCTAGGGGAGTCCTTAACCTATCATGGATTTAAAAACAAACATAGAAGAAAACTAAGCATATTGTACACTAACCTGCAGTAATTTGCAAACCATCCAAAATGTGAATTCCAGAATTCCTAGACTAAAATGTAAAGAAAGTTTTACTCACTTGGAAAGGGAAAATAGACATCTACACGTTTTAAAGGTAAGAATAAGAAAAATATTATTCTTGGAAAATTCAAACATTTAGTAATATACTACTTAATATAAAGAAAATGTGTGAATCCACTTATATTTTGATATGCAGTCTTTTAAAATAATTTTAATATACCCAATGAATAAAATAGCATTTATTATATATTCATTGCACAGAATAAATTGTTCGTAAATATTTACCTTATAAAATAAACCCTGCCTCCGCTGGGGTTTTTATTTGGCATAAAGATATAGAACTGCAGTTGGGAAAGAATTAGGACATCTTGGTTCCTAAATGGATGATGGATTAAAAAAGGAAACTTTTTTAAAATTCTTATTCTGATTTTTATTGAATTCTTACTACGTACTAGATACTGTGTGAAGTACATTTGCATATGTCATTATTTAGCTACATCCTACTCAGGTTTTCTCATCTATAAAATGATTCAGATGATATTGGTACGATGTGGTTACGTAATGAAACAATATCATTTGGCTTCTTCAGGTATACATCAGCAGTTCCCAAAGTGTGGTCTGGGGCTTGGACCCTTTCAAGGCATCCATGCAGTTGAAACTATATTCATAATAATGATTTTTATTACTTTTTTCACTCTCATTCTCTCAGGAGTGTATGTGGAGTGTT